CTTGGTGCTCACAGTTCCAGTGTCTGCTTTCCAGCCCAAGCATCCGCTGGCATCTGCCACAGTGTCAAGGACTTCCTGTATGCAGAGACCCAGCGAGATTCGGCGAGTCTGAATCTACACAGCTGGTATAGGTGTTCTTTGTGAGCTCGCTCGGCAGCTCTCCACAGCTTGGAAGTTAGCAGACCGACTTGCTTCTCATCTGGGATGGGACCTTCGACAGCACATGGAGGAAGCGTACAGCTGACTTGGGCACTGACAGTGCCCACTTCAATTGCCAGCTGCCGCGTTGTCATCGTTAGGGGTAGTCAGGACTGAGCCTCTCAGCGCCTGCCTACCTGCCAGCTCAAAGTTGACAGAATCAAAACAGACTCCAGCAGGCAGTCAGAGAAAGGTGGCTGATTTTGATGGGCTATGTTTTGCAATAAAAAGATGCCCTTGCTGAGTATGGTGGTTTGAATAATAATGGCCCTCATAGGCTCAGATAGTTAAAGGCTTAGTCATCAGGGGCGGCACTATTTGAGAAGGATTAGGAGGTGTGGCCCTGTTGAAATAAATGTGGCCTTGTTGGAAGAAGTGTGTCATTGGGAGTGGGCTCTGAGGTTTCAAAAACCCAAGTCAGACCCTTCACTCCCTGCCCTTAGGAAGTAAAGCTCTCAGCTCCTTCTCCAGCACCTTGTGTGCCGCCATGCTCCCAGCCATGATGATCACGAACTAACCTCTGAAACGGTAAGCAAGTACCCAGTTAATTGTTTTCTTTTATAAGAGTTGCCTTGGGGCTGGAGAGATGGCTCAGTGGTTAAGAGCATTGCCTGCTCTTCCAAAGGTCCTGAGTTCAATTCCCAGCAACCACATGGTGGCTCACAACCATCTGTAATGAGGTGTCTTCTTCTGGTCTACAATACAGAATATTGTATACATAATAAATAAATAAATAAATATTAAAAAAATAAAATAAAATAAAAGAGTTGCCTTGGTCATGTTGTCTCTTCATAGCAGCAGAACAATGAATAAGACCTTGAATGTGGTAGTGCATTCTTTAATTCTAGCACTCAGAATGCAGTCAGATTTCTATTAGTTTGAGGTCAGCTTGGTCTACACAGAGAGCTTCAGGCCATAGAGGGACACATAATAAGTACCTATGTGAGAGCCTCCAGTGAGCAGAGGCCTAGGACTGACCCCAAAGGACAAGGGTGGAAGTGGTAGGGCACATCTTGTCTCCTCCTGGATATCCCTCCATGGCATCCCTGGGGCCCAAGCAGAAGTCATGGGAAATGGATAGCAATGACCACTCCAAGGATATATGCCGTTGGGAACAAGAAGGCTCCTAGGATTTCTCAAAGCAGAAGAGCAGCCAGGGCTCCCTGCAGCTAGGTGTCTGACTGTGATAGCAAATGCCCCATGCACAAAAGTCCTAGGGGGCTCCCCTCCCTTCAGCCCTCCTTCCCCAGTGAATGGACAAGGGTTCTTACTTTCAGCTTGCCAGGGTGGCTTCCAGGAGAAAGCCTCAGCTTGGGCATCAGGAACCATAGCTACACTGGAGTAGGAAAAGAAAATCATTCTACCAAGGAGGCAACTCTGAGCCAGACAGATTCACCTGTTCACCAGGCAGAGTCCAGGAGCTCTGTAGCTGGTCTAGAGCACATGTCTGGACAGCCTCACCCCTACAGGTCTGCATTGCCTGAGCAGCCTCACCCCCACAGGGCTGCCTTGCCTGAGCAGCCTCACCCCTACAGGGCTGCACGTATCCAGGCAACCTCATCCCTACAGGGCTGCACTGCCTGAACAGTCTCACCCCTACAGGACTGCATGTGCCTGGGCAGCCTCACCCCTACAGGGCTGCAGTTCCTGGGCACCATCCATTCTGCTCTCAGAGCTCACTGTTCAGACAGTGGAAATTCATGCCACCTGAGAGACAGGAATTGGCATATGGAAGATGAGCTGGATCCTCTCAGATAGCTGTGGAGTCCTTGATCTACAAGAACAAGGACACACGATGCTGAATTCACTTTGTGTTTGTCCTGACTGCCCTCAGGTCTGGCCACAGGTAGGGAGTTGGAGAAACTTGAAGAGTCGCCCCATCATCTGCTGGCCAGGGACTCCAGGTGCTGTCAGCAAGGCTTTCAGAACCAGGTCCCATCATCAGTGTGTCCACATGAGCTTTTAAGAAGCTTAGGGGGAGAAAGAACTCAAAAGGAAAGCAAGCGTGCAGCCTCGGTAGCCCGGGACCCTCCCTTGGAGGGCTGTGAGCCAGCCCATTGACGACTGCTCTGTGGCAGGAGCCGGAAAGAACTGATGTCACCGAACGCATCACTTGCCAGCCTGGCAAGCAGCCTGTCAGCCCAGCGGCTCCCCTCCCACGCGTTCCGAAAAGAATCGGTCATTTTCAGAGTGCACTTAACCCAGGACGTAGCACTGCAAACAAATTGTAATAAAATTAGTGCAGTCCTACCAGTGAAGAGCCTGTCCACAAAGGGTGCTTTTGCTCAAACTAAAGACCAAAGTTTTTTAATTAATTAATTAGCAATTTATTCTTATTTGTTGTCTTCAACACATGCCCTCAGAAAGTGAGCCCCTGGGGTAATTCTATCTTCTTGAGTTAGTTACTTTTCCTGTTGCTGTGGTAAAATACCCTGGCAGAAGGAACTTAGGGAGAACAGGCTTATTCTGGTCCCCAGGTGGGGGGGGGGGGGGGGGGGGGGATCGTGTCGTCATGGTGAGGAAGGCGTGGCAGCTGAACCGTGAGGCACCTACCTGGTCACATAGCAGCTGCAGTTAGGAAGCCGGTGCTCAGCTCCTGTTGAGCTTTTTATGCAGTCTGAGACCCTAGCCCATGGGATATGTCAGCTACATTCAGGATGAGTCTTCTGAACTCGGCTAACCTGATCAAGAAAAGCCTGGCTATTCTGCTGGTTTGTTTGTGGCTGTTATAACAAGCTAGAGTTATCTGAGCAGAGGAATCTCAATCAAGAAAAAATTCTTCCTAGTAGGGTGGGGGTGGCACACATCATTAACCCAGTACTCACAGAGACAGAGACAGGCAGATCTTTGTGAGTTCAAGGCCAACCTGGTGTATAGAGTGAGTTCCAGGACAGTCAACTATATAATAAAGAGAGCGTGTTGAGGGAAAGGAAGGAAGAGAGGGAGGGAGGGAGGGAGGGAGGGAGGGAGGAAGGAAGGAAGGAAGGAAGGAAGGAAGGAAGGAAGGAAGGAAGG